ACCATCAGCTGTGTCACTAGGATCTCCAGTTCTTATTCCAAAACCACATTGCATCTTCTCATGTTCGGAACTGCCCTGCCTGGTATCAGAAGCTGTAAACCCCACCAAGGCTAAGGCTGAGGGAGTGGCCTTGGACCATAAGCCAGCAAGGAGACAAAAGCTTATCTCCCTGGCAGGACTACTGCTTCTGCTGCTTCATTCATAACTGAAACCCAAAGCTTGGTCGGTTAGCCAATGATGGGTAAGATTCCCTAAGGGGGGAACAATCTAAGACAGGCACAATCACATGGGAGGCCCCCAAAAAAGGACTTTGGGGGCTACAGCAGAAGGGGGTGATGGACCCTCGCTCCTCGGCTTTGACATAGCCTGAGTCCTCATCCTCTGGGAGAAAATCTCCTTATCTCTTGGTTGCCTTAGTTCCCTTGCTCCACCAAAGCCTGAAACAATGATAGGGTGGTGCAGCTCTGTGCTGAAAAGGGCAGTTTCCCCAGGTGATCAGGCCTAAGAAAGAATATGTAAGATCCTGTGAAACCTGCTTTGTTTAGAATGCTCTCAGTTGAATGATAAGGGTCGAAGGAAGAAGAAAGTTTGTTCTTTAAAGTTTTACAGCTCTTTGACCCTGACTCAGAATAGGCCCTCAGACTTCCTTGTTATCTATTGTTTGATCCTTACTTCCTAGCAATGAGTAATGAGCTTTTACTTGAATTCTTATTCAAACGAAACCAATAAAAAGCGTCTCCAGAAGGGGAACGGGTGCTCTCCCCACCAGGGAGGGTGGTCAAGCGGCACGCTCCCCACATGAGGAGTGGCCATGGCGCCCTCCAGGAGAGAGGGTGGCCAAGGCGCTCCCCACGTGAGGAGTGGCCCTGCTGTTCCTATTCCCTCACAGGACCTGGTTGTCTCTGTGTATGTTTTTCTCGCATGTTGACGAACATCCGCAGCCAAGATGGATACTGCAGGCCGGTATCCATCCACATTCTCATGGCCCACCAACAAGAGTCTTTTCACCCCTTTTCTTCCCTCAGCATCTCTCCTGCATTCTTCCAAACTGCTAAGCGAGAGCTCTGCATCACTGCTACATCTTGCTTTCCAGCTTCCTAAGCTGCATGGCAAAGGGAGACCCAAAGCCATGTGGTTCTTCTTGTCATGGCTGCTGTACTTGGGTTTAAATCCCAGCACCAATCAATCTATCTCTGCAGTCCCATTTTTGACTCCTCCCTCAATTGGCTATGCTTGCCAGCATTCCCATATTTTTCCAGCTTTTCTGGGCTGCCATAGTAAGTCCAGGCAGGTGTGGCCCTATGAAGCCAGTCATCTCCAAATTCTTACATGGGCTCTGTAACCAGGTTGAGCTGCCTCCCAGTTACATCCTGGGTGGAAGTCACTCCCATCTCCCTGGCTCAAAGCACAGCCACAGTTATTTAACATGCCCATGAAACCAGTTAAAACTTATAGATATGTTAAATTACCATGCATGAGGTTATTTGCAAAACTGTTGCTATGCAAAACAACTCTCAATAGCCCTGTTCCGTGTGTCCCATCCCCCAGTTCAGACTTGTGGGGGTGAGGATATTCTGTATTTTTAATATTTCCTGGACACCCTGAGTTCTGGACCCCATTATAAATCCTTCTTGTGGAGCCCCCTCACTGTACCCTCTTACAATTGTAGTTGGTCCTGTCATTGCCTGCCTGGTTTTGCTGCTTTTTCTGGGTCTGGAGCTGAAACGCAAGTGAGGCCTAGATGTCATCTCTAGGGACGTGACCTTCTGTATCTAGCTATAAATTGCTCAGCTTTGTTTAGCTATCTGTCTGTTTCCCTATTCCAATTGCCAAGCAATTTTCCTAGCTTTTTACTATCCTGTCTCAAAGCCTCATATTTTTCTGCTAATTGATTTCTATTTTGTCAAATCTAGAAGAGCTTTAACTGTTACTATTAATTTCTAGAGTATTCCTTTTTAAAAATAATTAAGTTTTATTAATCGTAAATGCTGCTGAATGTTTTGAGGTATTTAAAACTGTAAAGCACCATGGTGTTGTGGGAAGCTAAGTTCTTCTTGCTGACATAGTAAAGAATTACAAATGAGGAAACCTATTAACATATATATAAACAAAGTTTATACGTGATACATTCTCACAGAAGAAAATGAGCCTATGAACCTAGCTGGGGTGGGTGAGAAAGGCATAGGCACTGACTCTTAGTCCTGAGGATTTATATAAATTGTGGATGGGGTGAGTGAATTACATAGTGATGTGGTGGGAGAAGATGGTGCATACTCCTCCAAGGGAGGGTGTCACCCCCTAAGTAAGCATAAGTATGGGTGGAGATCTGTTAACTCAGATTTTTATCTTGCTCTAGACCACCTCCTGTTATCCTGTTAAAAGCATACAAGTGGCCAGAGGCAGTTAATCAAAGTTATTTATGAGCTTTTTCTGCAAGTACTATTGACCCCTCCCACCCCTCCTTTTTTCCCCTAAATTTCTACCTAACAGTGACATATAGCCCTGACTGGTGTGGCTCATTTGGTTGGAGCATTGTCTGTAAACCAAAAGATCTTGTGTTTGATTCCTGGTCAGGACACATGCCTAGGTTGTGGGCTCAGTCCCTGGTTGGGGCACGTGCAAGAGGCAAGCAATTGATGTTTCCTTCCGACATCAATGTTTCTCTCCCTCTTTCTCTCTCCCTCCATTTGCCGCTCTCTAAAATCAATAAGCATGTCTTCGAGTGAGAATTAAAAAAAAAACACACACATTGTGATGTGTATACAATGGAGTGTTACTCATGCATTAGGAAGGTGGAAACCTGCTCTTGGTGACAGCACGGATGGACCATGAGGGCATTAAGTTAAGTGAAATAAAATAGGGAAAGAAATAATACATGGCATTACTTATACGTGGAGTCTAAATAAAAAGTTAAACTCAGAGTAGAAAACTGGTTGCCACAAGCTGATGTGTAGGGGAAACAAAGAGAGATGCTGGTGAAAGGGTACAAACTTTCAGCTGTAAATGAATGAGCTTGAGAATCCAAGGTCTAACATAGAGGCTGTAGTTGATAACACTGTACTGTACAATTGAAGTTTGATAAGAGAATAGAACTTGAATGTATGTTCTCACACACATGAAAATAAATACATGAGGTGACAGATGTGTTCATTCACTAGATTAACTAGATGGGAGACTTTTTTTAGTCTTTAGTCAAAACTTAACATATATCAAAATCACCATGGAGTATGCTTTAAATAATCTATAATTTTTTGTCAATTATACCTCAATAAAGTTAAAGATGTAAAATAAGTAGAATTATGAAAGATAATTTATTTAAAATGCCATTGTAAAACTTAATGTTTTATTTTTATTTAGTGTGTTACATGGTCAAGCAAACATTAATTTTTTTCTCATGGATAAGAACTCTCATGAAAATAAAAGTATTATAGTAGGGTTTGATATAGACAAAGCATAGAAGTAAGAGGTCTATCTAAAGAAGGGAGCTGATTATAATAAAATGAGAAGAGCTCAGTTGCACTTTGTGTTTTCCATAATTTCCCACTGGGATAGAAACATTATTACAGATGTAATTATTCTTACATCTCAGAAGAACCTGAAATGTAGCTCATCAAAAGAGCAAGGAAGGGCTTGGTGTTTCAACCTCCATACCTCCTGGAAACAGCTTCCTTTATCTTCCTCTGTGATATGTTCCATCTAGCTGCTGAAATACATTACCTTCTGGAACTTAAAACCCACATGGCTCAGACCACAGCAGTAAATCTGGTAGAACAGATGGTTCTGTGTGAATCGTTATACCTCTGCTTAAAACCTCGGGATTTTAGCGATAGGCTTTACACTAAGTAATGGGAATCAGAGTGGCAGAAAAATTCACAGTGATACTTCCATGCTTGTATCCAAACACTGTGTTATGACTTCTTTCACTGTATCCTTCTAATCAAGCTGGAATTATTCTGTATGTCAAATATCATATATGCAAATCAATAGTACTCATTTAGAGATTTTTCCTTATTTAAGCATTAAGGTACAATTAAATGAGAATTTAGTTCCACATCCTAGTTAGATTTTCCAGGAAAGTTTCAAGAATTATATATTGAAGAATGTTTTATTCAAGTCATTACTATTTCACATATAAGAAAAGTTTTGTTGGTTTGCATATTCAATATCATTCAATACATTTTTATTTTCACTTTTTTACTGGTCAATGAGGAAAAATAAGAGGGTGAAAAGAGGGAATTACCATTTTTTGTGTCTACCATGAGTCTGGCTCTTTTCTCTGGTCTGTCTGATCTGATCCTTGCAACCGTGCTAGGAAGCACTCCCACATCTCTGCTTTCATGGCTCTGTTTAACATGTGCTATTGAGTTGTTATTTGTAAATCACAACAAACATAGGGGTGGAACAAGACAGATACTGCTCCTATTTTTGTGGTGTTTCAGTTTGATCAGGGAAGATATCCAGTAACAAATACCTGATTATCTAATACAGTAGTAGGAAGGGGTGAAAGACTTTATAATAGGAGGGCCTAATCTAGCTGGGGAGGGATTAGAAAGCCTCCATCATTGTTGAATGAATGCCTGCAGGTGTGAATACATCATCCCTCCAGCTGTGTTCTAAAGAATGAGTAGGAGTTGGCCTGTAGAAGAGTGTGTGTCGGGGGTGTGTGGAAAGAGGGAGATGAAACTGAATCTGGTGACGGCAGGCTGCTAAGGGAGAGAGTGTTTTTCCCTATTACAGATAAGGCATTTAAGGTAACACAGATAAATATAAGCGGGATTTGCCCTTGGTTCTGCCTAACCCCAAGCTCTTTCTCATCATACTCATAAAACATACCTTTTCCTTGTTAGTTATCAAATCATGCTTAACCTATTGTTTTGATCTACATCTGCAGAGTCTCCATCATGAAGGCTTTTGCATTTTCAGACATGCTGCTGTTTTTTCTTAAAGGGAAGTAGTGAGTTACTGTTCATTCCTTCAGAGTCATCTGTTTTGTTTTTCAGTGTTCCAACATTCCAGAGCCTTCCTGAAGAGATCCTCAGTAAGCTTGCAGACGTCCTTGAAGAGGTAATTGTTTTTAATACTTGAACTTTTTCCAGTGGGACCTAGCCTATCAGAGCTGTGCCATGATGAGTTACAAACTGCAGGGAGACCTTTTAAATATTTTAAGTCCCTGAGATGCTCTTTTATTTGGCTTCAGAAAAAAGCAGCTCAGCACATCTGACATTTATACATAGTCAGAAATGGGCAAATCAATTACAGAGGGAGAAAAATTTTATTATAGCAAACATAATGTCACTTTGACTTCCAAGAACAGGATATGGCATATTTCTCTCTCATTTCAGTCATCGTAAAGCAACAGCATAGTAATTACCACTCTGAAGCTTCCGATTAGCAGTTTTGCAACAGGAATTAGCAGTTGAGTATACATTTTATTAGCACATGAGTAAGTATGTTTTATACATATCATTATATGCCTGCATGTGAAAGTGTCAGTTTTACTTCTCTTTGGCTGAATTTACAAAGCATGAATAAGGATGAAGCAGGAACAGAGGAGTTTTACAAAGCTGCATCTTGAGGACAGGGTCTCTGGTGCCCATAGACATAGGGAAGGCAGGGTACTGGGACACATATGCAGGTGCAGGTGGGAGCTTGGAGGGATGGTGTTCCATAGAAAACCTTTCTGGTATCTTCTATTTTCTTGATCTAGATAGCATGGTCATCAACTGCATATGTGGATTGGGTATGAGGTATGAGAGATTTGAGGACAGGGGAAGTGGTATGAGAAAAACGAAAGAGTGAATGGTTTAGGAAAACACAGTCTGGTGGGTGGGCATCATTCAAGGCCCCATGTGGTGTTACTAATCTCAAATCTAAGCTAAACAGGCCTGGAAGAGTTTATTTAAGGCTTGTGGCAGGGAAGATAAAACTCAACTCTGCTGAAACAAAGGTGGGAGGGTTTTTAAGTGCTGAAGTGAGTCAGTGGAAAAGTAGAGAGGACCTTGAGCAGTGTGATGAAGTCACCTCTGTTGGCTAATTATCCCTTCAGGAAGTTAGGCTCCTACCCTCCCACAGAGACTGGGAGATAGGGGCCTTATCTCCTTCTGTGATTGCATTTCTAAAGAATAGTTGCATCTTCCTTGAGGAAGACATTCCTGAGCAGTAAAACTGGCAAAGGCTGGGGGCAGTTTTGTATCAAGGGTCAGATTAGGCATTTACAACTGCAAACTTTCTTAAGTAAATAAATGCTCTAAGAAAATGGAAGACCAAGAACCTAGAGTCCGGAAGAAGCCTGTCTCAAGTTTAGTCAAGCTGTGTGTGTGTGTGTGTGTGTGTGTGTGTGTGTGTGTGTGTGTGTTTCTTTAGCCCCATTTGTTTGCCTGGATTCAGGCTCCAAGCAGGAAGAGAATTGGATGTAACCAGGATGGTTATTTTGCCTAGAAAAAAAAATATGCAGTTTAGGGAGAGGTTAGGGAGTTCAGGGTGCACATGAAGAAAGGATTATAATGACTGACCTTGGACTTTAAACTGGGCAAGGAGGAGAGGAGCCTTGGAAGGAGCAAGGGCCAGGGAGAGATTGTATGATCAATTGATTTTAGCTTCATGAAGGATTTTTGAGGTTGTGCTAAAATCTATGTAGACTGGAAAAATACTAAAAATGTTTTTGTCTCCAGGTACTAACCATGGCCAGCAATTCTATCTGTAGCATTTCAAAGGTTCATATACAGAAAGTCTAAATTTGACGCATATCGGATTTTATTTCCCTGTAATGTACTGGTCTTCCTCAACTTTTATCTGAATACAAAGTAAAGCAGAAGTCACATTGGATTCCTACATTCAAGTATAAAAAATTTGTGAAAAATACTAGCTGTATTTCTCTGAGAATGTGCTGATCATTGTACTTAAAACCTCTGTAGATGTAAAACTGCTTTTCTTGTTTCTTTGCTTTTTTGCTTTTCTCGTTGAATACACTGAAGAACTTGCCAATGACCTTTTCCCTTTTTTTTTTTTGTAAACAAAACAAACCAAAGTAAAAATTTACTGGTCCCACTCAAGCCCATAAAAAAAAAAAAAGAAAAAGAAAAGCTATGAAATCCATTAATCCTTTTCTTTCTTTCCTATGAGGTTTTGTGTAATTACATTCTCAACTGTGACTATTCTAGTTCTGAGTCCCAGTCATTTTCACTTCTTCCTCTCTAGTGAGTTTCTTCTCCTATATCTCCTAGATCAATCCATCTGCCATTGTGTGGAAGAAGTAAGTGTTGTTCATTGCTTTAAATTGGTCTCTCCTTTAGTAAAGATGAACCTCTTTAAATTGTAAGTTTCTTAAAAGTAAGAACTCTATTGGTATTTTTTTTCTACACTGGGTACCTATAAGCAGTTGAGAAAAACACAACAATGCCTTCCACTTCTAATGCTAACTCAGTGCCAGCCTAAGGGCTTCTGTTTAATACCATTTGAGGTAAGTACTTTTATTATTCCCAATTTACCATTGGAAGAACTAGGGCTCAGGTAAACAGCTAAATAAATGGGGAAGTATTTTACCCTACCCAGCCTGACACCAACCAGCACCTTTCATTACTGTACTATACTGCATCTTGAAAATTGGTGGACTAGATAAAAAAAAAACAACAAAAATATTTTCCCACTCATCTCTGCTCTTTCTTACAAGTATGTACTCCTTTTGAAAATATATACTTATCTTCTTTTTTTCCTCTGGGAAATAAAAGGTGGAACTGAGACTTTTTAGGGCAGTGAAACTTTTCTGTGTGACACGGTGATAGTTGATACATGGCATTGTGCATTTGGCAAAAATCAAAGAAGTATCCAACACAAAAAGAACTCTTAAATGTAAACTATGGATTTGATTAATAATAATGTTTTAATGTTGGTTTTTCATCAATTATATAAAATGTAGCATACCAATGAAAGATATTAATAATAGGGGAAACTTGGGGTGGAGAGAAAGGAGGGTATAGGAACTCTCCATAGTTCCTGTTCAATTTTTCTATAAACCTAAAATTTTAAGTAATAGTTTATTAATAAGAAAAAATGATAAAAATGAAAACAATTCTATGATGTAGATACTATTATATTTTTAGAAGAGAAAACTGGACCTTAGGACAGTTAAGTAACTTGTGCAAGGTCACATGGCTAAGGAATTGCAGAAGCAGGATGAAAGGGTATTGGCAAGACTCAAACTCAGACATAACAATATAGAGATAGGTTGTTTGTTTGAAATGTTTCTATCTTTTTTAGGTAGATAGAAACATAGAAAGATAGAAACATTTCAAACAAACAACCTAACCTTACGTCTACAAGAACTCGAGGAACAACAACAAAGGCAGCCCACAGCAAGCAGAAGGAAGGAAATAACCAAAATCAGAGCAGAATTAAATGACATAGAGACTAAAAGCACAATTCTAAGGATCAATAAATCCAGGAACTGGTTTTTTGAAAAGATGAAAAAAATCGACAAGCATTTAAGCAGGCTCATCAAGAAAAAAAGAGAAAGGATCCAATAAACACAATCAGAAATGAAAGAGGAGAGATTACAACTGACACCACAGAAATACAAAGGATTGTAAGAAATTACTATGAAGAACTGTATGCCAAGAAATTTGAAAACCTAGGTGAAATGGACAAATTTCTAGGAAAATATAATCTTCCAAAACTCTATAAAAAAAAAAGCAGAAAGCCTGAATAGACCAGTAACCACAGATGAAATTGAAGCAGTAATCAAAAAACTACTGACACACAAAAGCCCTGGACTGGATGGTTTCACAGGAGAATTCTACAAAGCATTTAAGGAAGAGCTAACCCCTATCCTTCACACACTATTCCAAAAAATCCAAAATGATGGAAGACTCTCAAACTCTTTTTATGAAGCCAGCATCATCCTAATCCCAAAACCAGATAAAGACACAACAAAGAAAGAAAACTTCAGGCCAATATCACTGATGAACATAGACACTAAAATCCTCAACAAAATATTGGCAAACCACATCCAACAATACATTAGAAAGATCATACACCATGACCAAGTGGGATTCATCCCAGGGATGCAAGGATGGTTCAATATTTGCAAGTCAGTAAATGTAATACATCACATAAACAAAAGCAAAGACAAAAACCACATGATCATATCAATAAATGCAGAAAAAGCATTTGATAAGGTACAGCAACAATTTATGACAAAAACACGCAGCAAAGTGGGAAGAGAGGGAGCATTCCTCAACATAATAAAGGCCATATATGAGAGACCTACAGCCAACATCATACTCAATGGGCAAAAACTAAAATCTTTTCCACTAAGATCAGGAACAAGACAAGGTTGTCCACTTTCACCACTTTTATTCAATATAGTATTGGAAGTTTTAGCCACAGTAATCAGACAAGAAAAGGAAATAAAAAGCATCCAAATCGGAAAGGAGGAAAAAAAAACTGTCATTGTTTGCAGATGACAAGATAGTGTACATAGAAAATCCTATGGACTCTGCTAAAAAACTGCTTGACCTAATAAACAAATTTGGCAAAACAGCGGGATACAAAGTCAATATCCAGTAATCAAAGGCATTTTTGTATACCAACAATGAAACAGCAGAAACAGAAATCAGGGAAAAAATCCCATTTGACATAGGAAAAAGAAAAATAAAATACCTAGGAATAAATCTAACCAAGGAAGTAAAAGACCTGTATTCAGAAAACTACATAACACTGAAGAAAGAAATTAAGGAAGACACAAACAAATAGAAACATATACCATGTTCATGGATTGGAAGACGTAACATCATCAAAATGTCCATACTACCCAAAGCAATTTACAGATTCAATGCAATACCTATTAAAAGACCAATGGCATATTTCACAGACATAGAACAAACACTTCAAAAATTTATATGGAACCATAAATGACCCTGAATAGCTGCTGTAATTTTGAGAAAGAAAAGCAAAGTAGGACAGATCACAATACCTGACACCAAACTGTATTTCAAGGCCACTGTAATCAAAACAGCTCCATACTGGCATAAAAACTGGCACATGAACCAATAGAACAGAACAGAGAA